CATACTAAAACGAGATTAACGGTGACCATTTAGATGCTTAACGCTCACGCTCGTGGTTAGTAGTTGTTCCGCTTCTTTTTGAGATAAGTACAACACAGTCGACTTGTGTGAGCAAAAGAGAGGCAAATGGCATTCCTGTTTACCCAGGAATTAACAATTGCTTAAAAAATATATCCAGATAGATTGATGTGCATTAGATGCAAATAAGTATATATGAGGATAGAATAGGTCTTACTCACGTAAGATTTCTGATACGGCTTAATGCCAGGTGGGTACAGTAGGAAACCGCGTTGATTCACGTCCATCTACTCCGTCGCTACATAAGCCGACACATAACCCCTCCTTTCACAAAGCTTCCCTCAGACATGCCAAACCGTCTGATCACCCCACGTTTTGCATGTCCATCCCTACCACAATGCATCGTATCATCTCTTGATTCACTGTGGATGTGGCTGTATTCAACCGTGTTTTACATGCGCACAAGTTTCAGGGAATTTTTGTACACATCAATGCTACCTCTATCTACCTCGGCTTTCATTTGTTTAATAGTGATTTATAAAACGTTGCCTGAATTGACCTATCTTCTTCATTTTCCATGGTTGCGCCTAATGAACCTGCTGAATCATAAGTGCCACAGTTAGGGTTTGCCGAATTCGACAAATTGTTCTTCAGCCTGGAGGTCGCTGGGAGTCTGCACACCCACACACACTCGAGATAATATTTAATACTTTTACTAGGAATGAAGCACCAGGGTTGCCCACCTAAGAATAGTGCATTTTCCAAATCAGTGCAGCTGCAATGTTTAATTTGTAAATCAAAATGAGTTTGCGTGTGTGTGCTTTGATTTTCCGGGGGTGCAAACGAGAGAATAACATAGGGCAGCTGAGGTGACAATGGGGAGGGGTTGACCTTTATGTCGAGAGGTGTCGTGAGGTCGAAATTTGACTGACGTACTTCTCCCGGCACTCACGCGAAATAGTAATAATAAATATTCAGACTGTATTTACAGATGTCATTCACGCTTGAAACAGTTCAGCATCAAGTAAAGAACTCGCCATAATGGTGGTTAGAGCGTTGTGCCACAATTTGACTGCGATGCGTACAGACTGACCGCTACACATTTCAAAGATGTTAAAAGAAGCAAGGATTCTTGGGACGCACCAATGAGCCTCTTTAATTTTCATGATTCTGACAATACTGCTTTTTATTCCATACTTCTGGTAATTTGCACGTATGTATGGTCTCGCTCCGTTGAGAATCTGCCAGGTTAATGCAGCAACGTCTTGCAATGATATTATTTATTGAATGCCAGAGTCGTTTTTGAGTTAGTATGGTCATTTTCGTTATTTCATAGGCTCCCAACTATTCATGCACCCACACCTCCATATACCTTGCAAAGCCACAAGTACGCGCGCCCTGTGCATTTGCATCATCTCACATTTTCCGGCATCCCCGATGTAAAAAATACGGCGTACCAACTTTTTCGCAAGGATTTCCCTAGTCGAAGCCATGTCTCTATGCCACAATGAGTGGGGCAAAGTGGAGTGGTCGCAGTGTAGTCCTGACTGGGGCTTAAGCAACACCATCCATCTAACTGGCATGAAGTTCAGCCGACAGATTTGTGCTCTGGAGTAGGTGTCAGAGTGAATTTGTGGATTCCCCTTCCAGGAAGAGACTTTAGTCTTTCAAATTAGACTCAGTTGTCATGTGCCACAAGGGTATTGCAAGTCACCATTTTTACTCAGGAATAAAGGCTAAGAAAGGACTGACATTTAAACGCCCTGTGTGAACAAAATGCCGTGGTAAAATCAAGCATTTAGCCCTGCCAAAGGCAGAAAACTTTTTGCGTTAAACCTTGTCAACACCTTTTGTTCTGGTTTAGCCTGATTAATTTACCACACCATTCGTGAGCCACACGAACGCCTGCATTCAGGAGCACTAACGTACTCTTCCACTTTGCAAAAGTGTGCGATGTTAATTTTGTGTCGAAATAATCTACAAACAGCATAGTTTAGATAGAATATGTAGAACAATCGTGCTCTTTTTTGATTCTGAATGTCTACTGAGGCACAAGGCCATTGAAAGACGGTCATCTTTGTCAAACTGGTTAATCATTTGCGAAGACATGAAAAAGTCAAAGATTTTGGCCATAAGCAGGGCACAACTCAGACATCTGGACAACTGACGGTTAGAAGTGTCGGTTGACATGCATTCACCTGCCACAAACAATTTTTCGCGATCACTCACAAAAACACCATGCAGTAATTTCTCCTTATAATTGGCTACTGCAATGAGAAGAAATGTATAAGGGGGCATTACAATCACATCAAAATGACCTTGACTAAAGGCCGCAACATGAGTCGAGTTGCAGTCGACTTACTGCGTGGCCTTCCTGACTGAAGTTCAATCTTAGTGTGCAGTAGCTTAGTCTTATTTTATAAGAAACAAATAGTAAAGTAATGCATGACTATGTCGTTGCAGGCAGTGTGACAGCGATTTCGCTCAGGACAAATTGTCGTGGTTAACTACCTCAGACGTGCTACATAATGTTTTAAACAGCATGTTAATGTCCTCGTCCAGAAATACTTACTGACAAGCCAACATGCAGAAAGCCGATTTCCAGGGACAGGACAAGAACACAATCATCGTCTATTGTGTCCATGAATGCGTAGACAGAATTTGGAATCAATGAACGGAGTTCTTCATTTGCAAGCATTGAGCGATCCCGCGATCTAATTGCGGTTCCTGGTAGTCAGAAGAGCAGATTGTCAAGTCAATCAGGATTAGAAGGCATAATATATGGAGCTACTCTATGATAGCAGCCTTGTTTCGTGTAGCCATACATCGAATCTGCCATCATCAAGTCAAAGCAGCTGAATCAGAGTTTGATCAAATGGGCAATTTTGGCATGATTCGCCATTCTGACCGCATTCGCAGAGTCCTATCACACACACTGAACTTACGAAATCAGCTCACTTGAGACACTGTAGTGACTACTGAAGATTCCTACGTAATGCCACAGTGCTTGACCAGAGTATCATCATGTTACGTTTGCCCGTAACAAAGAGAAGACCACTCAGATAACGGTACCGGATCCCTAGCTGAAGCTAGAACCGACCTTCCCAGGCTCTATTCACGTCAGCCACGTGCGGCTTGCAGTATCGGAAAACGTAACTAATTCAAGTCAGGGTTGAACTTGACTTGATAAAAGGCGTAGCAAAACTAATGTTAGTGAATAAATGTAAACAGCATCAGAAACCAATCTTGGGGACTCGTGGATCCCCAATACATCAGCACATTCAAAAATTGCAATAGGCAGAGATGGTGCATAAAAGCGTCAAGAATCGGAAATCGTGTGAGTTCATCAAGTGACAGTCTGTTCCAGTAAACATATTTACAAACACCGTCTTTGACACAACTGAATTTGCTTCAGTTCTTGCAAATGACTTTTAGTTTATGAAACTTACCCCAGTAGTTTGAGTGCTTCCCTGAAACCTCTTTAGCGTGTCCTAACGATCCTGCTAATTTTCGATTGCTGATATCAAACATCGGCAACTCAACAACCCAACATTTCTGAATCATCTTTCAATGATTCTATTCAATCAACTGTTTATCTCGATGATAAGAGGTGCTCAGATCATTTTTAGATTCATGGATTCACAGGCAGCAGATACGTTCAAGCAGGTGATTGTGCGAGAATATATACTCAGAGATGTTATCACCGTGACAGAAGTGAAATGTTGTCTGATGAGGCCTCTAGCAGCCACAATTTGCACGATTCCGCAGACACAGATAGTCCTATTCAGTTCGATGATCCTTCAATCAGCAGCGACAAACGCTTCCGTCATTAACCGAGGACTACTTTCGTCTAGATTAAACGAAATGGACAATAGTTAGACACGTGTGATGTGTGATGACATTTTCAGCTGATGAGACAGTATGGCTCACCGGAATTATCACACTGGTTCAAATCACCTTTGCTCGCCTCACAGCCATTCAAATACAGCCTGAATCACGACAGGCACACTCGCTGCACCAACTGACAGTTAATTGACAAAACCGAGGACGTACACCATCGGCACGATGTCACACACATCTTCTCAAATCGTCCTATCGTGATAGCGGAATGAGCAATTCGTTCTAAGTATCTATAAACCCTGGCAGAATCATCGTTCATTTACGCCAATGATAGTGAACACGCGTTGTGTCAATGTAAGGAGGGTCATATTATCGTTGTTCATGTTATTGGAAGACTGTAAAAACGCGATACCTGGACCAATTCAACAACGCAATTTGACTCCTTGCACAGCCATTCATATTGTAGACTTAATCTACCTCAAGAATAGTTTAATTCTTATAGTTGGATCAAATTTCACACAACTGTCGATTGGCAACAGCTAACATTCGCAGTCATATTAGCTAAATCGCATTTATTATAACGTCAATCTGAATTTATGGATATCGTCTAGTTTGAGGTTCCTGAAAACGGTTTTACATTGTAGTCAACACTTTCATTTTAATGAGTACACAGGAAAGAGGTTTGTCTACAATTCGTTTTTATCATATAGACTGCCAGGAGTGAATGTAATCTGCACTGTCACACACGCACGCACTGTTCACAGTGATTCATGGTCGTGAAAATGACCTGCCTACCGACAAACCTGGGTGCCAGAGCCAAGCAACATGCTTTCTGCAGCCTTCCCAAACGTAAGTCAAATTGAATCGTCATTTTTAGTAATTTACACCGAAACTAAATCCATGCGAATATCTAGACCAATTATTCAAGGCCAATCAAAACCAGTGAGAGTTGTGCGCAATGTTTCCAGTTAAGAACACCCGTTAATCGTGTTTTACAACAAAATGCCAAAAGTCACGAGGAAGTAAAATTGTCCTTTATACTTTACAGAGCGCGTTCACGATTGAAGCGCAAACGTAAACATGCGTGTGTTTGTGTGTGTGTGTGCGTGGGCTCAAAATGCACTCATGAGTCAACAAATGCATCAGACAACATCGTCGATTGGGTCACCCTTTGTGCTCGGCTCCGGCGCAGCACCACAGCCATCTGACTGTCGTCCCAACTGCATCACTAGAGCTGCAGCCACCTTTGGTTCTTGCACCTTCTCCTCGTAGCAGTCACACAAAGCCTCCACTGACATCAAGCCAGCCTCCATTGACAATTCGCTCACAGTTTCACGATTTGCCGTCACATCAGTGTTAGACGCAAGCCAGCTCATAAATAATTGCACCAATTTCGGCTCGTGGAGGTGGATGAAGGCCTCCTCAAGGAGTCCAGTCAGGCGCCGATGGACGTGCAGCACATCAGTTTCCGTGAGAGTGATCGCCTCCTAATGCCAAGGTCACCATTTCACGCTCAACAACCTTGATCAGGTTTGTCAGCAACGATTCCTGTGGAATGATCTCTGAATGGTGAAAAAGCCGCAATGACCTGAGGTCTATTGACGCACGCCTTGTAAGAAGGAAGACAGAGAAAGGAACTCACTGTGTATTTGCTTCTTGCGCCTTCTCCTAATAGCAGTCAGACAGAGCATCTACTGAGATCACGCCATCATACATTGAAAATTCGCTCACAGTTACACGATTTGCCGTCACATCAGTGTTAGACGCAAGCCTGCTCATAAATAATTACATAGATTTTGGCTCGTAGAGGTGGATGAAAGCCTATTTGAGGAGTTCAGTCAGGCGCCGATGGACTTGCAACACGTTAATTTCAGTGAGGACGGTTTGTTTGTGTTCGTCGCCTCCTAATGCCATGATCACCATTTCACTCTCAACCACTCTGATCATGTTGGTCATCAATGATGTCTTTGGGCTGAGGTCTAGATGGCAAAAAAGCTACAATGATATTGCGCCTAACCTATCAAATGCATGTTGTGTGTTTGCGATCTGTCCGCAACAAATGCAAACATGTGCTGCATGTAACGAAGGTTGTTGCTCACCATCCCAAGCCGCATTGGCCAAGTTGACTAAAATGGTGTGTAGGATGACCAGTCCAACTGCGGACACCTACAAATACAGCAATAAACGTTTGCGCAGGCTATGAGGGAGTTTTTTTGAAATGATGGTTGTGCTGTTTCGATTAGATAAAACACGCAAAACTTCAGACTCCAGGTGATACACACAGATTGTTCAATTTCATTGAATGAGTATCAGCATCTGAATGTTAAAATCGCGCTGACACAAATGTTAACCTATTGCATACTCTTGAACATGAAATGCATCGAGAGGAAATCTGTTTTGATACCTGTGGTGTGGAGTGCTTGGTTGCCCAAATCACACTATTCAAAATGGCCTTTATTTCGGCCGTTTGCAAGGTGAGCAGAGCCGGGAAAGCGTATGAGCTGATCGCTTGCAGGAGAATGAAGAAATTGCTGTGAAGTTCAGTAAACACATC